AGCATCCTGCAGGTTCTTCCTCTCCCTATTTCTGGTTATCTCCCACTAGTCCTTCCTGGAAGTATAAAGAGAGAGAGAGAGAGAGAGAGCCAGTTTTATCAGTATAACCTTAAGGTTGGAGGGGGCAACAGAAGGTCAACTAAGCCATCCTCCAGCCTCCATACATGGCCTTTCTTTCTTTCTTTCCTTCTCTCTCTCTCTCTCTGTCTTTCTTCCTCAACCTTAAAGCACCTCCAGACAGAGGAGAATCTATTCTTCCATTTTCATAGTCTTTCTCCCTCCTTCCCCATAAGGAGCTGAGTGACTTCTGTAGGTCTGTATCCAGGTCACTAGATAAGATGTGTGGGGTGGGAACAGAGGGAGAGTATCTAACCTCAGAAGTGGGTATTGGATGTGAGGTGGTGCTAAATACAAGTCGGAAATTAAGGAGAAAAATTCTTAGAATCACTAGAGCAGTTCTCAAGTTCGGAAGATGGTCTCAAGAGAGGGGAGATCCCAGTGTAATTCCCATAATAAATAATGAGGCAAGAGGGACTGTCCCATCTATGTGGCCTTCTCACGTCTTAGGAGGGGGAGGGCTGGATTCCTGGGAAGTCCCAGCCCTTCTCACACCATCATTTATATCCCTGCAGAACCTCCCCGGACTGCCCCTCTCTGACCCCAAACTGCCTCCTTCTATGGGCTGGCTGTACTGGGGTGGCTGTCAACACCATGCCCTGGCACAAACTCCTATGTAGAGGTCTTTAGTATCCCTGTCAAACTTTCCCCCTCCCCCCTTAACAACTGCCTGGTATTTTAGAAGCAAACAGATGTATGAGTGGAGAAGGGTGAGAGTGGTTTGGGTCTAGGCCCACCCTTGTTTTTATTTTTAACCCCTGGATGTCTGGGCCTACCCATCCCCCAAGTATAAAACAAAAACTCATTCTTGAGTCTTAAGCATACCCACTGTGAACTGCCTGCCCTTTGAGCTTTGTCCAGTAGCAGAGAAGGTTTAAATGACTCAGGATCGCAACACTTTTCAGCTTCCCCCTCCTTCATTTTATAAAGGGCCAAAGCTCTAGAAGAGTAGCATCTTGTCTCTATATAGGTTAGCAGTGGACTGGATAAGAAGAATGAAACCAGGGAATTTAAACCCTCCCCTAGCAAAAGACCATGGCCTCATTCCCACTCCCTACCACCACCTTTGCAACTTGCATGGTGGTTGGCAGAATCCAGCTGTGGCTGCCCCCAGAGCAGCAAACACCTAGAGCAAGAGGAGACTAGGAACCAAGGAGTCAGGATAGTAAAGCTTTTGGCACCCATTGCCACAAGAACAGGAAGGAGCCCAGATTCCCACGCCCTGGGCCTGCGGCAGTCACCCACAGTAGACCCATTTCCCCACACCAGCAGAACTGAATAGGGATCGCTTGTCCCACCCACCTCTCTACCTGGGGCAAAACCCTGCAGAAAAGAGTTCTTTGCTAGGAGGGGCTCTCTGCTCTATTTCTTCAGCCTCCTGACTGAGGGTGGATTGGAAAGGAATTCAACAAACAAACCATCTAGCATCCTGGCACTGCTGCCCAGGAGCTTGGGGCCCTGGGAAAAGTTGATAGTGGCAGAGAAAGAAGTTTAGGAAAAAGACATTAACACGGGGGTAGGCAAAGGAGGCAGCTGTAAGAGATACAATGTAGGGGTAGCTGGGTGGCGCAGTGGATAGATCACTGACCCTGGATTCAGGAGGACCTGAGTTCAAATCCAGCCTCAGATATATAATACTCACTAGCTGTGTGACTCTAGGCAAGTCACTTAACCCCAATTGCCTCACAAGCACACATAAAAAAAGATACAATGTAAAAAATATACTTTGATTCATATGTGTATGTCTATATTATGTATATGTGTGTGTATATATATATGAACCAAATATATAATATATATTTTATGAATCACATATTTTTGATGACCAAAAAATGTCCCACTCCCCACGACAGGCATTTATTTCACAATCCCGGCAGTTTGGTGAGGTAGAAAGATAGATGGATTTGGAATCAAGAGCACCAAGCTTCAAATGCCACTTTTTTGTGCCTCAGTTTCCTCATCTGTAAAATGAAGGGCATTTGACTAGATGTCCTCTAAGGTCCCTTTATGGCTTTAAGTCTATGATCAAACGTTAGATGAGAGGTGACATAGCTCTTCACCAAAACAACTTTTAAAGACTGTCTTAAGTGGCACGAGTTCTGTGGTCTGCCTTGGTGGAGGGAGCTCCCACTATGACAAAATCATTGATCCTTGAAATGTCACAGTAATGCTTGTGACATGCGTTCCGTGAAGGCTCCCAGGAAGAAGAGAATCACACGTGAGAACATACATACACACACACACACACACACACACACACACACACACGCAGAGCATGGTCTTTAAACCTTACCTGAGTAAGACTTACACTGCGTTCAAGAATAGTCAAAGGATGTGCACCAGCTTGGACCACCGAGGGGCAGGTGCTTAATGTACTGTGGTATTAGGAATGTGGCATCAGTGGATTCATGGGGCCTGACACTCTCCCTCCAGACACATCTTTGGTGTGTTACTGAGGTTATTATGTGTTTTTTGAGGCAATCAGGTTTAAGTGACTTGCCCAGGGCCACACAGCTAAATGTCTGAGGCTGGATTTGAACTCAGGTCCTCCAGACTTCAGGGTCAGTACTCTATGCACTGCATCACCTAGCTGCTCCAAGATTATTATGTATTATTGGTATTAACTTACCTCAAGTGAACCAAACTAGTCTTTTTTTTTCTAACCAGGCTGCCCTGCCTGCTGCCACTTCCCTTCTACCCCGAGTATGACAGAATGGTATTCATTGGATCCCACACCTCCTACTAGCACCACAGCACAAGGCAGGCAAAGACCTTTGTTGGCCTCCAGGTTCCATTGATTACTAGCAAAATCACTTAACTTCCATGCCCTGAAGTTTTCTCTTCTGTAAAATGGGGATAGTTATAATAGGTACTCCCTACCTCATAGGGTTGTTGTGTATCATACAAGATAATGGGTGTAAAATACTTGGTAAATTCCAAGGAGACAGGGAGACAGGGATTTCACCCACATCTGTAGTTTCTCTCCACCTGTGGTATGGAGCTCTCCTGAATGAGGAGAATCCCTGACTCCTTCTCATTGACAGAGGATTTCAAAGCAAAGGTTCTTCTTTTTTTTTTTTGTGAGGCAATTGGGGTTAAGTGACTTGCCCAGAGTCACACAGCTAGTAAGTGTTATGTGTCTGAGGCCAGATTTGAACTCAGATCCTCCTGACTTCAGGGTGGGTGCTCTATCTACTACGCCACCTAGCTGCCCCAGAGCAAAGGTTCTTAACCCTTTCTGTGCCATGGATCTTTTTGGCAGTCTGGTAAAGCCTATATACCCCTTTGCAGAATGATATTTTTAAATGCATAAAATATAATACCCACAATTACGAAGGAAACCAGTTGGAATGAAATACAGTTATCACAAACCCTAGGTTAAGAATTGCTAGTTTAAGGGGCAGCTAGGTGGCACAGTGGATAGAGCACTGGCCCTGGAGTCAGGAGGACCTGAGTTCAAACCCAGCCTCACACACTTGCTACTTACTAGCTGTGTGACCCTTAACTCCATTGCCTAGCAAAAAAAAAAGAAAAAGAAAAAATAAAAGAATTGCTGGTTTAAGAGAGTTGCCTAGAATAATGATGTTAAGTGATTTGACCACACTCACATGGCCAATATGCATCAGAAGTAGGATTTGAACCCAGATCTTCCCAGCTCAGAGGCTGGCTCTCTATCTTATGTCACACTGCCCCTCTGCTTCTAGATTGTCTTAGCAGGTAACCTAGTGGTGCAGTGGTTAAAGCACTGGGCCTGGAGTCAGGAAGACCTAGGTTCAAATCCAGCATGAGATACTTACTAGCTATGTGGCTTTGGGCAAGTCACTTAACCTCTGTCTGCCTCAGTTTCCTTATATTGTAAAATGGGGATAATAGCATCTAGCTCCCAAGGTTATTGTGAGGAGAAAGTGAAATAATGTTTGTAAAGTGCTTTGTAAACTTTAAAATGCTATATATAAATGTTAGCTACTCTTATTAATTCTATAAATGTCGGATAGTATTAAACAATAAATCAACAATAAATCAAATCCAGCTAATTAGTAAGCTCTTGGATGTGCATAAAATCTGTAGTGGTCCCAGGTTCAGGTTCCCCATTTTCTTGGCTCAGTGTTCCTTCTCTACCTGCCTCTCTGGTAATAAGGTCAGCTTTTGACAAACCCTTGAAGGCAGGAAAGAGATCAGCCCAGCACTGATTGACCAGGCTTTGAAATTCAAGGCAACTCAAAGTTGCCTGCTTGAACAACAGCTTCTCTGGGGGAAGATGAACCAAGAAGAGGCAGGGAGGGAGGGAGGGAAGGAAGGAATAGCATTTATCAGTGTTTACTCTGTGCCAAGTATTGTGTTAAACGCTTTACAAATATTTCATATGATCCTCACAACAACCTTGGAAAATAGCTCGATGCTATCCTCATTTTACAGTTGTGGGAACTGAGACAAAGAGGTTAAATGACCTTCCCAGAGTTAGAGGGACAGAGCAGGGCCTGGCCGTGTGAAATACAGTCATAAGGAATGAAGGAGGGAGTGTCAATGACTCAAATGCACCTTGTCCCTCTAATCTGGTATTTGAGATAAGCAACCTCTCAAATTAAGGAGAGGATAAAACAAAAACTGGTGTTTATATAGCATTTTAATGTTTGTAAAACACTCTAAATACATTATTTCATTTCCTCCTTATAACACTCCTGTGAGTGGGGATTACTATCCCCATTTTATAGATGGGAAAACTAAGGCTCAACAAGATTAAATCACCCGTCTGTAGTCACGTAGCTAGTAAGAGTCAGAGGTTAGAAGAGTGGCTGAAAAGTTCATTTTTCTCTCCCTCCATCTTTATCCCCTTTCCGTCATTTCCCCTCTGCCCCATATACATTAACCTTCTTCCTATCCAGTTGAAGAGAAAGACCTGATGGACTTCAACCTGCAACATCTGGCGACCCTGGCTGCTGCCTGGTCTCTAGTGGAAGCTGCCAGCCTGGAGACTGGTCCTCCTGCAGCTGGGCTCCCTGTTCCTGGGCCCTGCTGCTCCACCCTCACTCCCCGAATGCAAATCCTCCGACGCAAATACACATGGACCCCAAAAACAAAACCTGTGAGTAGAAGATTCTCCTAGAATCCATGGCAGGGGAATGGTAAAAGAGAAAAAGTAGGCGGAGGGAAGTCCTAGCACATGATTTTATTCTAGGGAAGATTTGACCCCAATATTGGACGGATGAAGAAGGTCCACTATGATCCTAAGAACAGCCTCAGTTCTCTTCCCTCCTCTTCCTAAATGGGAAAGAGGTTATCCTCCTCCTTTGGGGATGTCCTCATCACAGCCTGAGAGACCCAGCATGGAGAGACCCTGAGAGACCTTTCCATGGATCCCTAGACCTTACGTATCTTACCTACGACCAGAACTGATTAGCTCTTACCTCCCCATCCTTCAATTACACATACTGTGGTGTTCTCTTGACTACTACTAAGAGGCTCCCATGTCCCTGTTCACCAGGTATGCCCTCTCAAAGCTGCCATTGACCAGCTAGGCACGAAGGAGGTGGAGATGAGGATGCGGTTGGTAGACCTGCAGCGGCGGTACAAGGAGAAGCAGCGGGAATTAGCCAAGCTGCAGCGGCGGCATGACCATGAGTAAGTCTGTAGAAGCATGGAGGCTGAGCTGGGCCCTTCAAAGCATGAAGCTGGACCTGAAATATGAGGAGGGAGTGGAATAGCAGGAATCGGGAAAGAGAGAAGAGCATGATCCAGCATAGAAAAAGGGAAAGAGGACAGTCTGGTTGATAACCTTGAGGCATTTCTGCCCCTTCCCAGTGCCTCACTAGCCTGTGGATCATCTCATCATTGTGACCCAAACTTCTCTTTCTTTGGGATCAGACCCCTAAGAGTATAACCAAATCTAGTGTTAATAAAACATGTGCAAAGAGGTAATAGACTTAAGTAGACTAGGAATGTGGGGAGAGAATTAAAAATAATAAATCAACAAATGGGTGTTAAGCAGCTACTATGCTCAGAATACTATGCTAGGTGCTGAGGAAGATACAGAGTTTAGATAAGATATGACTGCTGCCCTCATGGAATTTATGGTCTAGTTTTAGAAGAAGACACCAATCCAGCTATAATATACAATATTACAAAAGTATGCCAGAAAGTTACTTAATAAAGTGCCATGTGTGGTTCAAAGGGGATAGTCATTACCAACAAGGAGGGACTTGGGAAAAATTTGTGGACAAAAATAACTTTTGAATTGGTTAAGCTTTAAAGGGTAAGTAGGAATTTACTAGAAAAAGATGGGAAAGGAGGACATTATAGACCTAAAGAGGAAAATTCAGGGTATTTTGAGGGAAAGGGGGAAGAGTATATAACATGTGGAGGGAATAATAGGAGACAAGACTGGAAAAGGAGCAGTTTGGGGGGTGGGGTAGTATCACATTTTGGATGGCCTTGAATGCCAAGCAAAAGGAGTTTGAACTTAATTCAGTAGGCAATGAGGAATCATTGAAGATTCTTGAGTAGAAGAATGATATGTCCAGATCTATCCATGAGGAAAGTTATTCTGGAAATGGTATGAAAGATGGATCATAAAATCCTGGTTTCCCACTACTGCCTTAATTCAGAACTATGGGCAGGTCACTCAGCTGCGAGGTTTGGGTTTCTAAAACAATCTGCTCCTTCCCTTCCTCATTTCCCATCATGGGTGTCTAGAAAATAGAAGTTTATACCCCAAGAAGGAATGCCACTTAAATAGAGTCATAGAATCATAGTGAAGGTTAGGGTTAGAAAGACCCTTTGAGGTCATCTTAATCTGATCTCCTGCCCAATATGGGAGGGAAGGCCATCTACCACATCCCTGATGGACGTTCATCTGGTCTTTGCTTAACCACTTCCAGCCATGAGGAGCTCACTCCCCATAAGGCAGTCCCTTATACTGGAGGATACTTCTAACTTTTAGAAAGTTCTTTAAGAGGGGAGTTAGACTAGATGACCCCTAAATTCTTTTCCAGTTCTTTGTAAAATCAGGGGCTCTTAACCTGGAGTCCGTGAACTTGTCTTTTAAAAACATCTTGATAGTTGTATTTCAATAAAATGGGTTGCCTTTGTAATTCTATGTATTTTATTTAATGCATTCAAAAATATTATTCTAAGAAGGGGTCCATAGACTTCACTAGACTTCCAAAGAGGTCAATGGTTCAAAAAAATGTTAAGAACCGCTGGTCTAGTATATGATTCTATATAATCCTCTATTCCTTATATTAAAAATGTATCTCCCTGTAACTTCCACCCATTGGTTCTGCCCTAAATAACCACATGGAATAAATACCTCTTCTGAATGACAGCCCCTCAGACATTTGAAGGTGTCTGACTCCACCCGTGAGGAATCAGAGGTAGTTGCCAGCTTTGTCCTCGGTGCAGTTTCCTGACTCAAAGGAGATACCATCCTAGGCCTGCGGGCTCAGAATCGGGCAGGTCAGGGTTCTGGGCTAGAGAAGACAATTGTTCCAGAAGGCTCTCACTCCACTCTTTCCCTCCCACCCAGGAGAGACGAGCGCTCCAGGAGCCCAGCTCGGCGAGGGCCGGGGCGACCGAGGAAACGAAAGCACTCTAGCATCCTGCCAACCCTCCGACAGGGCAGCCACCTTCCCAAGTGTGACAGCAAAAAAGTCAAGTGAGTCTTCACTAGGGGGTCTTGCTGGGAAGAATTCAAACAGGAGGGAGGGAGTGGGTGCAAAGTCTGCGGTCCCCCTAAGGAGGCCCGCAGTTGTGCCAGTCTCGCCCTACAAGTACCCGCGCCCTCTGGCATGTAGCAGAGCTGATCAAGCGTCCTGTCTCGGGTCATCTCCCCTCCCACCTCTGCTGTGTGTGTCTGCATCAGCGTGTGCCTCGCTCCTTTCTCACTGCTAAGAGTTGTTACTCTGGTTCATATGAGGTCTCTTTAGCTCTCTGTACTTCTAAGTGGTCTCTGTGTGGCATCTGTCTGTTGGTTCATCTGGAATTAGAACTGCTAGTTGAGGGGTTTCCCGCTGGCTACCCGGGAGAGGCAGGTACCTTCATGCCCCTCTTCTTGGATGGCAACTAACACGCCCCACCCAGCTCTGGCCCCGGCAGACAGCTTCCCCCTGTGGCCGGGCAGGGCAGGACAGGGCAGCATCCCCCTTCTCCCTAGGAGGAGGCAGTGGCAGGGGGTGGCAATGGGGAGTTGGAATGATGGAAATGCCTCCCACGGCTCCAATGTTCATAGTCACTAAACTCCCTGGATCCAGCTCCCCCTATTGGTCGGTGCTCCAGCACCAACACCAGGGGGGCCTGAGATGTTGATCACCTAGTTTTGGAGCCAACATCCCCGCCCCCCCACCGTGGCCTTCCCCCCCTCTGAAGTGTGAGGCCGCGTTGCATAAAAGCCTCTTTATCTGTGCTGTATAAAGTCGTTGGTCACGCTGCAATGGTGTTCATTGCTGCTGGCGCTTTGTTATTATCCATTACCCGCCCGGCGCAGTCATTCTCGCACTCCCGGGCCCTCTATAATTGTCCTTCTCTGCTACAAATTGCCTCTCCCGGCAGGCCCATTTGCATAAATCCTCCAAGCTCTTCCAAACATGATTGGAGTGAGTGTGTGTGCACTGCATCAATCCTGATGATTTGGTAATAATAGTTAAATCTGCACTAAATGGTTCCTTCAATTAAGACAGAGAAAAAAAATTAATCTCTGGGTTTTATGTCACAAAACATTAGCAAATGTAGTGAAGGTTAGAGGAAGGGAGGGGGGAGAAGTTAGTGTTGGCTTCAGGTTGCATCAGGGCTCTACCATATGGCTGGGGGATGTTCTCCTTGGAGCTGTCCCGAAGCAGCTTCTCCCAAATCCCTCTCCTCCATCCCCAAGATTGGAGAGCATATCAGTCCAAGGGACCTTCACTTCTCCTCCCAGCCATCCCTCATGCTCACTTGGGGGAGTTGCTAGAACCCAAAGGGGAAAGTCCAACTTGAACCAGAGTCCTGCTGTGCACTTTCCACCCAGGCCAGTCCAGGAACTGCCATGCTGAGCCAGTCTCCCAACTTGAGCTGGGAAGGAGGTTCAAGATGGATTGGGATGGAACCAGATGTAGCCTGTTAGCTGGCAAAACCCTTGGACCAGTACCACCCTGGGCATTGAGTAGCTGAGTTGGCTACTTTCCTCACTGCTATCAGAGAAACCACTGGTGTGGCCATTTGACACTATACCTCTCTCTGTTCCGGCACAAGTGATATTGGCAAATCGTGACCTAGGCAGATGTCCCTTCAGGACAGGAAAGGTAGAGGTATCCCCTCATCTTTAGTCCCTTGACCCTGGTTCTTAGAGGTGGCTTCATATGACCCTCCAACCTCTAATACTCACTGACAAGCAAGAACGAGTGTCATTTTTACTCCCTTAGTCAATCAACAAGCATTCATTACTGTGCTCAGTGCTCGGGATACAGAAAAAGGCAAAAAACAGTCTAATCAGGGTGGCAACATGCAAACAACTATGTACAAACCAGACAGATAAAGGATTAAATGGAGGTCATGACAAAAGGGGGAGAGGAGCAAAATGTAAGAAAACTAGATGTAAGAATTACTAAAGAATGTAAAGAATTACTAAATGTAAGAAAACTAAAAAGGATGCAGGTTACGAAGGGTTTTAAAAACCAAACAGAGGATTTTATACTTGATCCTAGGGGTAATAGGGAGCCACTGCAGTTTATTGAATAGTGAGGTGACATGGTCAGACCAGTACTTTAGGACAATCACTTTGACAGCTAAGGGAAGATAGACTGGATTGAGAGCTTTGAGACAGGGGAAAACAACCAAGAATTATGGGAAGTGAGTAAATGAATGGGTAGGTGTTGAGAGGCCTTGGGAGTATAGAGATGGCTCCTCACCCCTCCTCGATCAGAGGGGAATGTCGGGGGTGGAAGGGGTAGGAAGCTGGAGTGATCCTGGAAGGGCAGACCAGGTCCTGACATAGTGTTTGTTAAGTACCAGCCCCAGACACTACAGCACCACACCAGATCTATCGACTCTGTGGTTGGACCCAGATGGTGCCAGGAGCCCAGTGACTACCTGCTGGCAGTGACTTCAACATGTGCTGTCAATGCTGGTAGAGGATCTTGCCCTCCTTATCAAGAGGACCGTGACCCCTACTACAGATGAGAAACCTATATGATTTATGGGGAACATTGTCCCCTGGTAGAGTGTGAATCATTAGCTCCCTAGTGACTGAGAAAGGGCCCTGGGGTGGGGAGTGGAGGGGTCCTTGTTCCACTCCTCTCCACCCTCCCCATCCCCTCCCCAGAGGTTTTAGGAAACATTCTCTGTTCTGCCTCCCCAGTCACTAGAGGCACCCCATTCAGCTCCTTATCTTAAATCTTGTCACTTACTGGTTTTGTGACCCTCAGTTTCCTCTTTGGTAAAGTAAGGGGGTTGTACTCCCTACCAAGAGTGAGGAACCTGCAGCCTCAAGGTCACATGTGGCCTTCTAGGTCCTTGGGTGCAGCCTTTAGACTGAGTCCAAGTTTTACATAACAAATCCTTTTATTAAGGGGATTTGTTCTGTGAAGTTTGGATGCAGTCAAAGGGCCACACTTGAGGACACAGAGGGTCACATGTGTCCTCATGGCTACAGGTTCACCACCCCTGAGCTTAGCCTATTTCTATGACCCTAAGATTATTGCCTCAGTTCTGGCATCCACAAGTTTTAAGGCGTGTGTGTGTGGGGGGGGGGTGTATGCATGTATTTATGGTGTATATATATGTGCATGTGTGTGGAGTATATATGTGTATATGTCTGTGTGTGGTGTATGCATGTTGTATATGTGCATGAGTGGCATATATATGGGTGTGGTTTGTATGTGTTTGGTGTGTATGTGGGTGTGTGTGAGAGAGAAACAGACAAGACAGAGATAGAGAGGGAGGGAGAAGGGACAGCACAAGAGGAAAGTTACACAGGCCAGGAGTGAGGACTCCAGTTTACTAAGGGTCTCCACCTCTCCTCCTCCTCCTCTCTGCTGCCCACTCCCTCTCCTCTTTTGTCTTTTGACTAGGTGCTTGGAGCCCACTAATGATGGCACCCCCTCCTAGCAACAGCCTTTCCCCTTAATCTCTAGCCCTTTTTGTTTCTCCTCCTCTCTAGATGCCAAGGGTCAAGGAAGGAGCCAGATTAGAGAGGGAAACTCTAATTTCCCCATCCTGCCTAGCAAATCCCAGTTATGTTTGTTCTCTGAGGTTAGAAATTGGGGTTAGAGGTTCAGAATCTGCCTCCAATGTACAGGGAGGACTGTATGGTAGAATTTAGCCATTTCTCTTTGTTGTGTCTCCATCATAAACAAGGACCTTTCCAGCTAGAGCAAAGGAAATATGAATGGACACCTGGGTCCCTTTGAAAGCTACAAGGATTGGGAGAAGTCTGGGTTCCCTTGGCCAATGACCTGGGAATAGTAACCTAAGCAGTGGTATGTAGCAATGATGCTGCCTGCCTGTGACAAAACATGTGGCCAATGTAGGTAGTTCAAGTCACTAGCCAAGCCAGACCAAGACCCAGGCCTACCAAATGACTGTGATCTCATAAGCCTTCAAGGAAAGTGAGTCACTGTGATAGACCCAGAGTCCTGGGCCCTGGGAGCCCAGCCTTAGGAACTGACTTTCTTTGAAGGTGTCTGCTTTAAAATGTAGGTGTCAAGTGGTGGTCCTTATACGTGGAACCTGGAGAGAGGGAAGGACATATTGACTGGGCCCAGTTTGTATAGAATAGCTACAGTTTTAAGTACTTCTTGGCTTTGAAAAATATAAGTGATGCTTTCCTGTTGACAGCTCTATATAGGTGTAGGTATAATACAAACCTACCTAGCCCCAGTGCTCACCTAATCTATAACATACCTGTTAAAACCTGTTATATATGTATGTTATGTACCATAACATACGTTACATTTCCCCATTTATTTATTTACACCAATTTATTAACTATCCTTCCCACTTACCGTTCCCCCCCATTGAAAAAATTTTTTAAAAACCTTCATAACGTATTCACAGCCCAGCAAAACAAACTCCCCCATTGGCCATGTCCAAAAATATATGTCTCATTCTACATTTGAAGTCTATCACTTCTCTGACTGGAGATGTCTAATGTGCTTTATCTTGAGATTCCTCTGGCATCATGATCTGTCATTGCATTGATCAGAATTTTCAAGTCTTTCAAAGTTTGGTGTTTTTTTTTTTAAATAATATTGTTTACTATATACTTGTGCCTCTTCCCATCCAGCCCCAGGCTGAGCAGAAGGCTCGGAGCTAGGGGATGAGGAGAGGAAGTGGCAGCATGATGCTGCTGCAGGGGTGGGGAGGTGAGTGGGAGCTTGGTCGGAAATGTGGAAGATGATGGCATACCCTTCATCTTCTGGGCTGCTCAATACTTAGATGAAAAATTTCTCCAGTGACTCAGCAGTGGACTAAGGACTGGGGATAGGAGATAAATTTTAGGGGACCCAGCATTCCCTAGGCATGGTCCTTGCACACAGTCCCTCTCCTCTCTCTACCCCAAGCTGTAGCCAAAGCCAAAACCCTTTGAAAATGTGGCAGAGAAGTGTGAGTGACGCACTCCTGATCCTTGGAGAGAGTCCAGGGAGGAGCCAGAAGCAAATATTTGAAGGCCTGTCATATAGAATTGAGATTAACCTTGTTCTTAGCCCTAGAGGGCAGAGCCAGGAGCCATGAGTGGACACTATAGAGAGATAGATTTATTCTCAATATAAAGAAAAACAACCCACCAATTTTGAGCTCACCAGAAATAGAATAGACGGCTTTGGAAGGTAGTAGATTCCCCTTCACTAGAGATCTTTAGGCAAAGGATGGATGGTCACTTTCTGGGGATGTTGTAGAGATGATTCTTGGACAGGTCCAAGTTGGGTCAGATGGCATCTGAGGTCCTTTCCAATTCTGAAATCCTGTGATCTTGGATTGCAGCTCCCAGGAGAGATAGTCCTTCTGTCTCCTGGCTTAATGGCTTTCCCAGACCATTAAAGTTGGTTTCTCTTAGAAAAAATTGGCCTCAAGAGATATTCTGTAGAATCAGTCCATCGATCAATAAGCATTTATTAAGTACCTACTATGTGTCAGTCACTGAACTAGGTGCCAGGGATACAAAAACAGAAGTGAAACAATCCCTACCCTCAAGGAGTTTATCTGTATCAGGGAAAACCTGTACATATGCATTTATTTGTGTGTGTATATATATTTATATGTATACATGTATACCTGTGTATATGTACATATATGTATATATACACACATTTATATACACAACAGATACAAAATAGATACAAGGTGATTTCAGGGAGGAGGATATTAGCAACTCAGTGTTAAGCTGAGTGTTGAAAGAAACTAGGGTGATAAAAGCAGAGGTGAGAGTGTGTGCATATGGAGTGTGTGAAGGGAGAGCATTATGTAATAAGGCCAGAAGGATCATTTGGACTAGGTTGTGAAGGGCTTATCACTTTGGCAGCTATGTGGAAGATGTACTGGAGTGGGGAGAGAGGTGGGACAGGTGCACTACAGAAAGCTGTTCCAGTACTGTAAAGGAGAGGAGATGAAGGCTGTAAGGGTGCAGAGAAGGGATCATATAGTGAGAGTCTGTGAAGGTAGAGACTTGGCGATGGATTGGAAACCCCGATGGAATCTAATGAGGTCATCAAGGGAGAAAAGGAGGGGATATACCTTCGCATTCCCTCCAGCTCTCCAGTCTTTAGACAGGGATCATCTCTAGCATCTCTGCTTCCTGGCTGTCTGTCTGTCTACAGGGAAGGACATTCAATTTAGGGCTAGAAGAAGGGGTCTTAACCTTTGTTGTGTCATGGACCCCTTGGCAGTCTGCTGAAACCTATGGACCTCTTCTTAGAATAATGTTTTCAAATGCATAAAATAAATTTCATAGTATTACAAAGGAAATCAATTCTATTGAAATAAGGTTATCAAAAAAAAGGTCATGGACCCAAGGTTATGAACCTGTGAGTTAGAAAGAATCTTAGTCATCATTTACTTAACTTGCTTATTTTATAAATGAAGCTATCTTTTTTTTTAAGCATGGAGACTTTTTTTTTTCCAATTCTAAATTCTCTCCCTCCCCTACCCAAAGAGAAGGCAAGAAATACAAAATTTAGGGCAGCTAGGTGGCACAGTGGATACAGCTCTGGCCTTAGAGTCAGGAGGACCTGAGTTCAAATTTGGCCTCAGACACTTGACGCTCACTAACTGTGTGACTCTGGGTAAGTCACTTAACCCCAATTGCCTTACAAAAAAAAGAAAAAAAAAGAAATACAAAATTTATTGCAAATACATATAGTCATGTAAAATAAATTTCTGCATTAGCTATGTACTTTCCTGCCCCCTCAAAAAAAAAAAAAAAAGAGCAAGAGGAAGAAATGAAAAAAATGCTTCCATCTGCATTTGGAGTCCATCCATTCTAACGCAGGCTATCTTTAGAGGCCAAGGGTCCATTCTATCTTTTCACATATACCACTGTCACCTGAGCTCAGCCTCCTGTGATAAATTAGAAAATCCCCTTAAAAGAGAACATTCCCAAATACTTGGCCATACCATCCCATTGCCTATCTCCAGAGACCAAACTTGATGTATATTGGCATGATGGCACCATTGGGATCTGAAGAGGATCCAGGGGGTCTACTTGGGAGCTGCATCACCTCCATCTAAAGGAAACAAAGTCCTTTTCTAGCAATACTTTTAAGATTAGATGAGATGGGGAGCCATTCAGCTATTTTTCAGGAGGGCCCCTTTCAAAGACTGGCCTAAAAGGACCATGACTGTGTCCTAGAAACCTTAAATATTCATCCAACAATCAACCAACATTTAGTAAGTTTCTGTTACGTGCAAAGCTCTGTGTTCATCGGTCTGGGACAGCCAAAGATAAAAGACCGGCTGCTCTCAAGGATCCGGGGAAGGTGTTGACCTTGGTTATAATGGTGTTAGATACAGGCATCAACTTTTGGATCTGAAAGGCGCCTTAGATAGCATCTAATCCAATTTGCTCATTTTACTGGTGAAAAAACTAAATCCCAGAGAAGGCACATGGCTTGCCCTTGCTAGTTCTGGGTAGCTTGTCAGTAGCCGAGTCAAGACTAGAAGTCCCAGGGGCAGCCAGGTGGCACAGTGGATAGAGCACCGGCCCTGAAGTCAAGAGGACCTGAGTTCAAATCCGGCCTCAGACCAAACACTTGATACTTACTAGTTGTGTGACCCTGGGCAAGTCACTTCACCCCAACTGCCTTAAAAAAAAAAAAAGACTAGAAGTCCCAGTTGGGTCTTCTGACTCACCTTCCAGTACTCTTTCTACCAAACCAAGATGCTTCCTATGGGATTTAATCATCCTCTCCTCCTTCCTCTCCATGTCTCAGATCTGTGAAGGCCAGCCTAAGCATCCTGTGTGCTGAGTTACGGAGTGAAGGGGAGCCCAAGAAGAAGAGAAACAAATTAGATAAGGGGGTCTACAGCAGCCTCAGCTCCCAGGTAAGTCCTTGCCCTATATCCCTGCTCAGTCTATTTTCCATGCTCATTCCCTCCTTTCTACTCCCATCATTTCCTCCCTTTGGCATCTCTGGTTTACTTGGGAGTGATGCCATTTTATTTCAGCCTAGTAGCCATAGAAAAAACATGTTCCCATTTCCCTTTTCTACCACATTGCTGTCTGTAAGGTTTTGAATAACTGTTGTGGACTAAAATTTTTTAAATTGTTATATATTGCTAATTCCTCTCTATCCCTGGAATTCCAGAAATAGACCCTGGAATGAGTGCCTTTGGGAGCTGCAGTCCTTAAATATTCCCAGCCTAGTCAGTGAGCACCATGTACTGAACATATTCCTTGTACAGATATCCTATAGGACAGCCCTCCACAGTAGGTCATCAGCAACTTATGGATCTTGACCATTCCCTTGATTAAGCTTCCAGCTGGCTATGTTGTCACCACCAACACCACCCCCAACACACATATACATGCATGTGCACACACAGGAAGAGTAGGAGGCAGGCAGCAATACTACCATCTCCTTCTTTCTTGCCTTTTCTCTTCTCTCAGCAATTATATTGTCAGCAACCCTCACCCTGCTCTTAGGCTAAAGGTTTGGAGAATCAAAAGTAGCATCCCTCCAGAAAAAGGACCTCTTTTGTTGCAAAGAGATATAAAAAAATAGGTATAGTCCCTGCCCTCAGGATGCTTAAAGTCTGGTTTGAGCAGCTAGATGGTGCAGTGGATAGAGTAGTGGGTCTGGAATCAGGAAGACCTCAGTTCAAAAACTTACTCAGAAACTTACTAGCTTTGTAGCCCTGGGTAAGTCACTTAACCTCTGTTTGCCTCAGTTTCCTCAACTGTAAAATAGGGATGATAATAGCCCCTACCTCACTGGGTTGTTGTGAAAATCAAATAAGATAATAATTGTAAAGCATTTAGCACAGTGCCTGGCACATAGTAGGTGCTATATAAATGTTGGCTATTATTAGTCATAGAAACAGATTATATACTTTAAGAAACTGAAGCTATTTAAGAAAGCAACATATCGGGCGATAAAGAAATATTTATTGAGAAATTTGCTATTCATTTATTCATTCAGCAAATATTTGAATATCTCCTTAATGTATAAGACACTGTATGAGGCAGTAAGACTTACATAAGAAAAATTCAAGACATAGTACCTTCCTCTAATTTGCCAGCAGCCTACTGCCCTGGAAAGAGTCCTAGATTAGGAGTCAGAGGACCTGAGTTCAAATCCCCTCGCCACTTAACTATTTTCGTGACGTAGGGCAAATCACTTTGCCTCTAGGCCTCAGTTTCCTCATCTATAAAATGAGGGGTTGGACTAGAAGACCTCTAAGGTCCCTTCTATCTCTAGATATATGAAAAAATGAGAAATAGTATCAATACATGCGGTATAATAGGAAGTTCACTGGTGGGACATGGTGATGCAGGCCTGTAGTTGCTGTTACTGGGGTGACCAAAACTGGAGGATTGCGTGAACTCAGGAATTCTGAGCTGTAGCCAATCAGGTGCCTGCACTAAGACCAGCACCAGTATGGTAACACCCAGCTGCCAGGGAATGGGGTAGGGCCTCCAGCCCACCTCAGGAGGTGGGAACCAGCATAGGTTAGAAAGTGAACCACAAGTCAAAACTTCTGAGCTATTGTGGGGGGGGAGGGGCAGATTTGGGCCTGTGAGTAGCTGCTGTATATTTAGCCTGAGTGAAATAGGGGGACTCAGTCTCAGAAAGAGAGAGAGGGAGAAAGAACTGGATTTGGAGACAGAGGCCCCAGGTTTGAATGCTTACTCTGCTACTCTTTGTAGCCTTTGGCAGTCACTTAACTTTTCTAAGCCTCAGTTTCCCAATCTGAAAAATAAAATTTTAAATTTAGATTATCTCTAAGTGCCCTTCTGGCTTTCCATTCTTTGATTCCCCAGAATAAAAAATAATACTTGTAGGTAAGTGGCTTAAACTTTCTGTGCCTCGGTGGCCTCATCTGTAAAATAAAGGAGTAATGTTTGTTGTCTTCTGAGGTTCCTCCCAGCTAGGTCTATCTATGATCCCATATATTTCACTTTAAATAAACCCAACATAGGAAAATCCAGATTTATATTGTGGCTAAAATCCTGAGTGACTTGCCTTACAGAAAAAGCAAACTCCTCTAGGACTCCTAAAATATGGTTCAATTTAAAGAAACTAGATTTCCACAGAACATCTCAGAGACACATCTAGTATGTAAAGCAAGACCCACCCATAGCACAGATCAAGTATACGAGTAGTAAGGAGTTGCAGGGTCAAGGTGACAAATCCTCAGTCTTACTCGTGGAATTATTTGTGAAAATTCTGTCATTAGAGAAGCTGAGGACCTAGGACTCCTCGGCCACAATTCAGAGAAATAAAAACCTTAAAAGCCCTCTTGCCATCTCCCCAACATATCCATACACAGAGCCTGCCCCTTGTCCCACACTCCCTGCCGCCTCCTCAAGGCCAGTCTAGCTAATAATCTCTTGTGTGTGCTCACACCATCTCAGTGACCTCTGTCTTATTTCCCCCATCCCCATCTGAAAATGCACCGCTAAACTGCCCTCCACAGGCAATTCAGTGTGTCAGAAATGTGTGCTCCCCCTCCCTTCTTTTCCTTTTGCTTTAGAAAAGCCATCTCTAGCCAGACACTTTGGTAAACTAGAGTGGCCACAGTGCCCACAACTTTCTGGGTGTCCTTGGCCCCTCTGCCCACCCACGTGGAATCCAGAATGGGCCAGGGCAGGGGAGATGGGATTGCAGTGGTCTAGCACCAATCTTAAGCTTGTCATCAGGGAAGCAGACACAGTCAGATTTGGGAAGGTCCAAACAGATCGGCACCACTTCCACCCAGTCCCAGACTTTGCCTTGGCTCCTTTGAGGTGTAAGACTCCAGTGGAGTTGGCACAGTCTGAGAAGGGCACTCAGCTAAAGGGAAACTGAGAAAAAAAATCCATACATCCTTCCTTCATCCCATTCTACAAATAACAGAGAGACAAAATCTGGCCTTTCCCTCATTGCATGAGTACTAGTCCTTTTACCCCCACTCATTTTTAGTTTCTGGTGAGATTTGCCACAGCTGGGCAATTCTGCCAGAGGTCAGTGGGCCTTTGGGATAATTTGCTGCTTTTTTGCTTTTCCTAGAGGGAAGGGGAAAGAAGAACTGAGCCAGTGGCCCAAGCCACCAAAAAACTCGGCCCAGTAATACAGCCTAGCATCTCAAAGAATTTGCCTGGTCTGCTTGGGGAAGGTGACCTCAAAGCTAAATTTCTGTCTCTGAATACCCTGCCCCCCTCCAAACCAGCCTGGCATATTACAGGTCCTGAGATACAAACAAGGACCAAACACTGAGCAGTTTCTCTATGTGGGTTATTCCACAGGAGAAGGTACGGTGCAAAAAGAGTGGATCCCAGAGCAAAGTAGCCCAGCTGAAGCCGAAGGTCAGGAACAAAGGTTTGCCAGCTGGCATCAGCCCCTTCCGGCGGAAAGAGGCCAATCCTGGCGGGCGCATCCAAAAGAAGCTGTCTCGAGCCAAGAGCACCAAGGTGGCCTTGGCGGCCAAGCACCCTAAGCCAGACAGCGATGGCAAAGACAGCCCCAAGTTCGCAGCCAAGTCCACAACCACAGCAGGGGGAACTGAGGCAGGCAAGTAATCCGGGGAACGGGCCCACTCTTCACTTCCAGGGAGAAGGGGACAGGGACCTTGTGCTGCCAAACTCAGGTGGGACCAGTTTGGCAGAGCATTCTGGACCCAGTCGCTTACTCTGAGTGTCTGGAAGATAGGAGAAAGGGGGAGAAGAGGGGGACCCTTGACTGGTGGAAAAATCAGATTATGGGGAGCATAAAAAGAGGTGTGGTTAATGTATGTCTTCTGTTGCTGGGCCTCAGCAGCTATCCTGTGTGACTAAAATGAGGGTACCGGGGAGGGGGAGGGGGAGCGAGTGAGAAAGATCTCAAAGAGGTGACAGAAAGCAAGGTTCTCCATTGGGACACCAGACTTTATCGTTCCCACTGAGGACTTCCCCCCTCCTCCTGCTTCCCCATCCCGGAAGCCTAGCAAGTGGCCCTGGAAAGCATTTTGGAAAATGGATTTTAAAATAGCCCTAGCTTTCTTCCTGTGAATCTCCAGCCCAGGATTTGACCTGGGAGCCTGCAGGATGTGTTATCAGGCCCCAGAAAAACAACACATGCACACATGAGAAACACAACACTGAACAAATAGATATTTCCTCCCCATTTTCCCTTACTCCCCCCTCTTCCTCCGTCCCCTGACCTGTTCACCACACACACACACACACCCCAAAAAAATGTGGGGGGAGACAAGAAAAGTTCTGAGGACTGGAAGAAGGAAGAGGAAGCAGGAAATAGAAAGCAGGAAGGACCCTGGATAGGACGTGTATTCCCTGGGAGCTACTGGCTGGGCGATGAGATGAGACTGGAAGGCCAAGAGGGTGCTTGCTGGGTGGAAGCTCTGCACCCTAGGTCCTGGGGCATGCCCCAGTGGGCCAGGCTGTGCAAAGAGCTGGTGATCTCAGCCTCTCAGACTTATTGTGAAGATAAATTGAAATGATGTGTGTTGCCTTCCATGGACATAAGGTGGAGCAGGTTGCTAGCTGCTCCAGAGATGATGGGGATCAACCCCATTCATCATCTCCTCATCCCCATTCACCCAAACAAGAGGCCACATGTGGCCTCAAGGCCGCCGGCTCCCCAGCCCTGGATGATCTCTGAGGTTCCCTCTAACTCGACTCCATGGCTCAACCCTCAGAGATATAGATGGAGTCATCTTGTGGGTTCCAGGCCCACGTTATTTTGTTGCCTCCATCCTCTTTTAACCTCTCCCGCTCCCTTACCTATAACCAAACAATTTACGAGGCAAGGTGGGAGTGGGGGTTGAAGAGAAGTTGAAGAGAAGTCAAAGAGATGAACAGCACCCCTGAATCCCTGCCCTACTCCCAGCTTACAGAGAACTTCATTCCATACCCATTAAAGATACTACCATTCAGAATCTGGAGAACTGAATGCTGACGACAAGGCTATGGTGCTCCAAAGCAGGGGTTCTTAACTTTTTGTATGTCATAGAACCCTTTGGCAATCTGGCAAAGCCTCTTCTCAAAACAGAAGAGGAAGAACCCTTTTCACAATACAGTTTTTAAATGCATGAAAATAAAATACATAGATTTATAAAAGAAACCAATTATATTTAAATACATTTATCAAAATATTAAAAAAAAAGTTCACAGACCACAGGTTAAGAACCTCTGTTCTGAAGAGCAGGCCTTCCCCCTTGGCAGAAACCCCAGGAGAGACAGATTGTGATTGGCAGAGCATGGATGCTCAGGGGAAGGTCATCTGAGAACCTAGGCCAGGGCCAGCTTAAAGTATTTTCTTCTCTCTTCTTGCAGGTGGAAACCAAGATGGGGACTATGACAGTGAGGACTGTGAGGGGCTTCTGGGAGATGAACATCCAACCAAGGACCTAAACCCTCCCCTCCATACAGGGGTCAATCCTACAACGTTGGGCCCCTCCCCATCTTCAGTGGTGAAAATGGAAGCAAACCAGAAGGCCAAAAAGAAGAAAGAGAGGCAGGGCTTGCTAGGTAACTAAGGGAGGAAATCATGAATGCAGAGATGGAGGAAAGGCAGGAATGACTGCTAACAGGATAGTCTGCCCCACCCCCACCCCCATGACAACATTGTGCTTCCATGCTGAGGGCACATGCCAATGAGGGTGTGAAGGCTATCTCCCTCCATGACCACCCCCATCAAACTCAGTCCCTGTTCATGATGGCTCCACTGCCTGGTATATGAGGGGCCCAGGGAGCATTCAGAGAGCAGTCCATCAGCACAGCCTTTTTTTTTTTTTAATGACTTTTTGTTGATATTTTCTGTTTCTTCCATCACCATAGTATCCCATGTATCTCTCCCCCTCCGCCTCCCAGAGGGTCATCCCATATGCAGAGCCTATTTTTAGCCTCGGTTTTTGTCAGCCTTTCTCACCATCATCATCCAGGATGGTGGCACCACGACATGCACCCCTGCTAGCTCCCACCTTCGTGGGCACCAAGATATTGGCACCCAGAGCTCCAGTAACTCTCAGTATTTTTGTCTCTCGTTTTTTCCTCTAAGGGTCCTGTCGAATATCCAACCCTGAGGGTGAGGTCAAAATTAAAAGGCGAGCCGTAAAGCCTGGTACTGAGACTCGAAAACTGGAGCGGGCCCCCGTGCGCAGGAGGCCAGGAGTCTGCAGTGGAGAGGGCAAGAAGAAACTGAAAGCAAAGCCCAAAGACAGCCTGCGTCCAGAGCCTGGGGCTACACCCAGTGGGGATGATCTCTACAGCCAAGCCCGGGCCTTCTCTTCTCGGGAAGAGAGTGGGAAGCTGGCCAGCGAGCGACTAAAGAAAGCCACAAGGAAAAGCAAAGTGTTACAGTCAGCTCTAAGGGTGAGAGGGCTGAGTTGGATCCAGGGAGTTTCCAGAGGGAGAAGGATGAGTGGGAAATGATGGCCCTCACTGTTTCTGTGTGGCTGAGATTGTACCCTTGAGCATGGCAGCTCGCTAGGGGAGACCACAAGGTATGGCGGCCAGGACAGCCTGAGCAAAGAATAGTCTCCCTTTCCCCTCTACACACAGAGCCCAGCAGGGTACTCGGCTATGCCTATATCCTTCCCTCTCTCAGGACAACTTCTCAGGTCATCGGTCTTCTGTATTCCATATTGAGACAGAGCCAACCTGCCCTTCATGGTGGACTTTATTAGCCCCACAGAAAGTTGGGCAGGTCATGGGAATACACCTAACACAGAACCAACCACATTTGACACCAGTCAAGCAAAAGCCCCTCAATGAGTACAGTCTCTGACGTGTCTCTATCTTGTCCTCCCCCAACAGCGGAAGAATGGGGCCTTGTCTATTGCCTTGTCACCCAGAAATGCCAAGACCATCTTAAGCAAGGGCAAAAAGCTAAGCAAAGTGAAGAGTAAGGCTGTCAGCAAGCAGGTAGGCTCTTCGTTCCTTCTTTCCTTCCTTCTCTTTCTTCTTTCCTTCCTTCCTTCCACTCTATCTTCCACTGGAGGGAGGGTAAAGTCAATGTTCCTAATGGAAAGAACCAGCCCTAGTTTGTCCCTGGGGACTGAGGCAAGGTGGGGCTAGTTTGGGGCTCAAGCAACTATGCAGAAGTAGACACATTCCTCAACCCCAGCCCCAACCATGGAGTTCCCCACTTTTCTCCATCCACAACCTGCTCAAAGGACCAATAGTGCAAGAAAGAAGTTGAATGAGACTGAGCAGGACCCTCAGAAGTCCTATGTTGGGGATGGGGAGACTAGTGAAGATGTCCCTTAGGTCATCCACGAGGAGGAAGGTCAGCACCCAGGGGCAACACGTAGGGAGCACCCATCCGTCTGATCATGTCCTCCTCCTAGGGCAAGGGCCGGGCAGTGAGCCGGCTGCTGGAGAGCTTTGCGGTGGAGGATGACTTCGAGTTTGATGATAACAGCAGCTTCTCAGAGGAAGAGAATAGCACCCTGAGTGGAGACCAAGGCATAGCTCATGGTGAGTTGATCCATCCCAACTCAGTAGCACAGACTAAGACCCCACCCCATGCACGCAGTATTGGCTTGTAGGAATTTGGTAAAGGTAGGGATGGTGGGGGGTGGTTGAGGACATAGAATACGAATAGGGAGGAGAGCAAACATTGGCCCTCAAACGCACAGAACATCCCAGGGTCTCATCTGGAGGCCAAGAGCTTACAGGCCAGATGGGAACTTGGTAGGGGCAACAGCATCCAATTGCCTTCACTGTACTGGTGAATTTTCTTAAAGCCCACACCAGCTTTTTTCTTAGGGGCTGCCCAAGACCTCCACACAGTTTGCTACCCTACATGGGTTGCCCTCTATCTTGGGAATCCGTCCTTGTGAGACCTGAATCTTAAAGAGAGATGGGTAGTGGGTAGCTGATGTAAGTGTGACTAATGCCCTGCATCGTCCTTCAGTCCAGTCATGTACCATCCACAAAGAAGACCTCCAGGACGGCCTACACGTGCTCATCCCCAAGGAGGACAGCCTGCTGTATGCTGGCAGTGTGAAAACCCTACAGCCTCCAGACATGTAAGGATGGCCACCCCTCCCCCCCCCCAAAAAAGGGAGCTGTGAAGATTGATGGAGGGAGGCGGCGGTGTCAGTTTGAGAGATGAACCAGGAAAAGATAACAGGATGGAGGAAAGGAGACCTTGGACCAAGCAAAATCAGAATGCCCCGCTGAGGAGGGCTGGGAATACGGTCATAGAGATGCAACTGGAAGGAATCTTAGAAGTCAGCTAGTCCCTTGTTTTACAGAGGAGGAAACTGAGGCCCATTGAGATTAAATGACTTTTCAAAGTCACACAGGTTAAAATAAGAAGCAGAGCTGGAGTTTGAATTCAGGCCTTATTTTCCCAAGTTTAGTGCTTGTAATAGAGAAGGGGAACTTCTTCTCCTCTTGCCCACCTACCCTAGCAGTTTGATCTTTCCTGGACCAAGGAAAGTAGTTCCCTTCCTTCCTAGCTAAAGGACGGTGGGACCCTACTCCCTTCTCTTATTCGCTGTATGGCTGGAGGTTGGGATGGGGCTTCTCAGGGTGACATTTCAGTGCTGCATTAGACCCTTCCCTGCCTTCACTCCCTCACACCTTGGTGAGGGCAGAGCAGCCTCAGGTGAGTGGAGGGTCTCCTTCCCTGGCCTCTTTTCATTGGCTTCTTCCAAACTCTGCTTTTCAGCTACAGTATCGTGATTGAGGGTGAGAGAGGAAACAGACAAAGGATCTACTCCCTGGAGCAGCTGTTACAGGAAGCTGTGAGTTCTGTGTCTTGAATGATAACCTTTCACTTTGAGATGAATGGACACATTCCCCTGGCATCCTCTTCTCTGTTGGGGAGGTCTTCTGCCCCTCCTTCTGTTATCTCCAAAAGGCCTTCTCTCTCTAAATCAGAATGAAAGAATAGCTCCCAGCCGAAGGCCTCATGGCTGCAAGGACTTTTCCTCTTATTTATTCCCAGAAGAAGCGCTTAATCTCAGCTCTGCCATTAGCCCAGGGCCTGACCCATCACCACTTCCTTTCCCTAGCTCCTTCCCCCCAAGTTAAATCCAATTGAGTCATCTTAGCTCATATTGGTTTGGTCTCTCTGAAGCCCGCAAACTTCCTGCCTGCCACCTCTCCAAATGGAAGCCCTATGTCGGAATGCTTTCTCAGGATCTCTGCCCAAGGATCTTTCCTAACCCAGCTCATCTATCTTCCTCCCTACCCTTGTCTCCATTCAGGTCCTTGACATCCGGCCTCAATCAAGTCGCTACCTCCCACCGGGCACTCGGGTCTGTGCCTACTGGAGTCAAAAGTCTCGCTGCCTGTACCCAGGCAATGTGGTCCAAGGTGAGAGAAGGGGTACAGGTTCCAAGAAGAGAAAGTCCATGGGGTGGAGGAAAAATTCCCACTGGAGGAGTATGGATTCAGCTTCTCCCCCCCCCCCCCCC